CAGCCGCCGCTTGACTCTTCAACTTCAAGCCGAGCGTCCCCTCGCCGACAGCCTCTGACGATGGCTGCCTGCATCCACAGTGACCGAAGGTCCCCCCACAGTCATCTACGGTAAACCACAGCAACCCCATCAATCCCTATAATCCCAAAAATCTGGGATTCTATCACCCCAAAAAATCAGAAACCCATTCCTAAATCTGAGACTGATCCCCTATTTTTTTCTAGACATCATCATCTCAACAAGATCCAACAAGCAAAAAGGAAAGATAAAAAGACCAAAGAGGAGAAGATAAGGGGATTCAGTGATAACCAAAGAAAATGATAATCAGATTCGGGTTTTCGAAGAAATCACGGAGAGAGAGAAACACCGGGGTATTCGGGGTTGAAGAAAAAACCTAGAGAGCCATTCGGTGAGAGCCCAAAAAACGAAAAATAAACCAAAGAAGAAAAGGAAAGGAGGGATTCATACCTAGGTTGGAAGTTTGGGGGAGCTGAGTCGCCGGAGATGGAGAAACCGAAAGGTTTCTCCTCGGATTTACCACGTTTGAGCCGTTTTTAGGCCAAACGGAGGCCAGATCCTTGCTCAGGGCCTGGAGACGCTTTGAATAGTGTCATTTTCTCTCCCTCCGGCGTCGGCGTACGGCGGCGGCCGCCGGTCAGAGGCGGCCGGCACGACGGAATCTCGCCGTTTCCAGAGAGGTTTCTGGATCTCATCTCTCTCTGTCTCTCTTATTCTCTCTCTTCTCTAGGTTAAAATGAAACAGATGGCCGGTTTAAGGAGATATTTGGGCTATTTATAGCTTGTGGGAAACGGCGTCGTTTTGAGGGGACGAGTTCTGTAATTTCACGCATGAGGTAACTACGCTTTTGGTCCCTGATCCTTGGTAACCGCACGATTTAGCCATGGAATGAAGTTTACATTATTTCAATTTGAGCCTTTATCTTTTCACTTTTACATTTTAGTCACTATCCTAGGTATTATAACATTTTTGTTTATATTTGGTTCTGGTTTCAGTATTTATAAATGTTACATCTTAGCCACTGATTTAATATTTCATGTATGTTTCTTTGATATTCGAATCTGGCCATCACATTTATAAATATTTTATTTTAGTCCTATTAATGTATGTTATGTCATTTTTGTGGATATTTGACTTTGGTCCCAATGTTTGTAATAGTTTCATTTTAGTCACTAATTTCGTGTGTTGTGTATTTTTGTGAATGTTCGAATTTGGACAGGATATTTATGTATTTTACATATTAGTCACTGTTGGGTATTTGGTTTAATTATTGTTCAGTCCCTCATGCTATATATCATACTATTTTTGTTTATGTTCGATTCTGGTTTTAATATTTACAAATGTTTCATTTCAGTCACTGAATGTTACCTTTCTTTATTTTAATTAGTATTTTTAATTTACTTTGTTTACATTATGGTCAATGTTTTAAGTATAAATACTTTAGGTAAATTTATTGTTTGCCCTTACGAATTTATGTTTTAATTTGTTTTAGTCCCTTAATTACTTATTTTTGTATTTTATTTTGGTTTGTAATGTTTATTTATTTTTATTTTAGTCATTTATATATGAATGTATTTTACATATTACATGGTTATTTGTATTATGTAAATAATGTGTTTAATTCCATTTAATGTAAATATTTATATTTCCAATTACATTTATTCTCATTATATTTGTATCTATGTATGAAATATTTGATTTTCGATTTTATTTTCAATAATACATATGCGTAGAATGAGCGTGGAAAGTACCACTTGGTCGAAGTGGTGTGATCCGGTACGGCATTTTAACGACATAGAAACTTGAAATAAGTTAAGTATATTTTGCTAATTAATTTGTTCAAACGATGCAATGTGTGTTATTTTAAGTGACAATTTACTTTATTTTATGTGAATGTAAATTTCAAAATTTTTAATTTGTATTCAATTCACGTTTTTAGTTAATCAATTTATTCGTATGTAAACATTGTTTTTAGTTATATTCGATTTGTATTTTTAACATAATCAATGGTAGAATATTCTTTTACGAATGAGAAATGGTTGAAATAGCTTTCCCGACGGAGGATTGCAAATTTCAAGATTTCTGATTGAGTTAAAGGATTTTCTTTAAATAATTCGAGGCAAATTAAATAAATCTCAATAAATGGATCATAGGTTAATTTTATATTCGATTTATCATTTCCATCATTTACGACAATGTGCAAGCGACACAGTACCATTTTTGGACGCTGTGGGGGTGCTTACCCTTCCCCACACGTAACCGACTCCCGAACCCGTTAAATTTGATTTCTGGTAAATGTAGACCATTTTTGTCTTAAAAAATGATTTTTCTTAAATTTCTTTTAAAAAGACGTTTTTAGGTATTCGACCTACCTAACCCAAAGGTCGATGGCGACTCTATTTAATTTAATCCAAATTAATCCAAAATACTCAATTTTTCAAAATAAAAGTCATAATCGTTTTAAAAATAATATTTAATTGTTCCACCTAAAAAAAATGGTTATGACACTGTTCTAAGCTAAGTTCGGGTTAAGGATGGATGTCGTGGTCAATTAAATTACAGTGTTAAAGAGAACATGATGCATGCTTAAACTAATTCAATTCATAAAAAACATTTAGTGAGATCTAAATGGTGCTTCACATGGAACTCTTTGAAGGAGGTAGGCAAATTTAGAGTCAAGACAGTTCTTTTCTAGGGATGAGGTACACATTTATCACTTATGTAGTTCATCTAAATTTAAATTTACTGGTAATCTTTTAACCGGTGTAGTTTCAACTATAATTATAGTTTTGAAGCATATTTCCGCAAGATCTTTTATGCTTTGTTTATTTAAAATATTACGATTCTTTTTCATTTTTATAATTAATCCTGTGAAGGGAAATTTCATCGTATTCTTAGTTTGTGAAATCTTCGATTAAACCTTTTCTCTATGTAATTTCAATGATTTTTTTCTCTATTATATGAACTAAAACCAAAATTTTTTATTTTTTATTCTTTTTTTCTTTTCCTTTCTCGTGGTCACATTTTCAACTAAGGGTCCATTTGTTTCACGTAAAACGTTTTTCCTCATTTTCCAGTGTTTGATTGGAGGAAAATTGGTTGGTCAACGTAAAACATTATCCTGGTCAACAGAATTTCCTTTATGTTTTCTGGAAAATGACTTACGATTTGATTTTCCGTAAATCATTTTCCGAACTTTTCACTTCAAAGAAAAAATGCTCAAAATAATTTTATTTTATGAATTTAATATTAATAAAATATTTTAATATCATTTTAATCAAAATATTAATTATTAAAATATTTAAAATATATTTATTAATATTTCTAATAATATAATATTATATTTTTAATATTATAATAAAATAATCAATTATATTATAATAATATAAGATATTATATTTTTATTTTAATAATATATAATAAATTATTAATAAAATTTATATTATTTATTAATTTCATAGAAATAATATTATTAATAATGAATAATATTATTTATATATTTAATATTAATCTAATAATCTAATAATATTTTAATAAAGATATTTAAAATATATTAATTAATATTTTTAAAATATAATACAACACTATTACTTTAATAAATAATTATTTCAATAAAATTCATCAACTAATGGAAAAAGGGTTTAAACAACATTTTCCAAACATCGTAAAACGTTTTACAGAAAATGTTTTTCAAAAAATATAATTCATTTTACGTAAAACATTTTCAGTGAAATAAACAGACCCTAAATATAAACCATGGTACCTCAAACAAAGAACTCTTGCAATCTTTTGAGCTGGTGAGTTAGCTTGTTTTTACCACAGTGAAAACATGAATTAAAAACGTGATAAAATTCTTTTTGTGGAATGGTAATTGTTGATATTCCTTATGTGCTTACATAGTATTTGTTTGTTTAGAAGGTTCCCCAACTGTTATTTCTTGGCCAAGTTTGCTCCAAAATTAAAAATATGATGGTGCAATGACAATAGCAAAAGGCTTGTGGTAAATCTGGAGTACTCACATAATCAGAGAGGTAAATTTTCACCTGGTCCCTTTAATGTCTACTTATATGTTTTACAGAGCTTTGATTGAAATGCATTCTCATGTCAGTAACTAGTATTGCACTTAGATGCTTATAGATCATCATGGGCTGATGGCAGATTAGAAAAAATCATGGTTATCGAGAAGCTAAATTACATGTCGGTTTTTGTTCGTTTAATTGCTAGATTCGGTTTTCCAGTATTATAGCATAATAACATTTTAATGAACCCATCCTACATAAGTCCTTGGTAGCTTTGGTAAACCTTTCCTCGTTGTTCAGGATCTATATGCCCTAAGTTCAAAGAAAGGAGTTTTCCTTGTGCTGCATGGGGCCTCTGGTTTGTCCAAGGAACTAGTGAAGTTATCATCTACTATCTACTTTCTCTGTGGGGTTTTTCACATATAATATCGACAGTTGAAGAATTTGCTTATGTTCTGTACTAGATGAATGAATTCGAGGCCGATTGACCTTGTTGATTAAGTTACCTCGGACAGGGTTGCATAGATCACGGTGTGAGGAAGTTCAACGTGAACACGGAGGTACAAAAAGCTTACATGGAATCCCTGAACAGTCCCAAGGGAGATCTAGTGCATGTAATGGCTTCTGCTGTAGAAGCCATGAAAGCTGTGGTTGCTGAGAAGATGCATCTATTTGGTTCTGCTGGAAAAGCCTGATGGTTTGGGGGTGAACCAGATGTGTGATCACTGATCCTGCAAAAGCAGGAAAAGGGTTGCTTGTGCTTTCCAATTTATAACATATTATGATCCTTTTGTGCATTAAAAACGTCATATTATTCATTTCCTTTTGGAAACAAATAAATGGACACAAACTGTTGTTAAGAATGGGATAGGCCATAAGGCTTAAACAATAAAAAAAATAGGTTGAATTAGCAAGAATTGACCAGATATCTTGGGGTTAGGCGTTTATTGATGAATGTAATGAGCATAATTACATCGACTTTATTTGTACACAAACTTTCAAACTAAATTAACATTATTAAACGCATTCATAACTTCCATTGATGGATTCAAATTTTGGTTCCTCCATGGAATCCTATTCTCCTTGGTACCTGACTTACCCATGGTTTTAACAGCTATAATCTGATCAAAATGAAACTTGGGATCGTTATCACCCTTAGCCTTATGAAGGGTCTCAAGAAGTGCACGTTTGTGCTTGAAAACGCTTCCCTTGGCTTTCAGATACATTTCATGGTGCATGTGCTTATCGATCTTCTTCATTTCCCTATACTTCCGAAGGAGTCGCCTGAGGACACGACATCTTCTCATCCACAAAAGCTTGGATGGTAGCCTTGCTTCCCTTGTTCCCTTTCTCTTGCCGTATCCTTCTCTCCTGGGATTGCCTTTCCTGTGTCTCCATCCTGAGCGACTTACGTTAGGCTTTTTGATAATAACACTATCCTTCACAAGCCTTCTTATGTCCATACCTGCATCAATATTACTATTAGGTCCATGCACATTAATGAAACATGCTTCTTAGTTTATATTTATAATCTTAACAGTCTATTTTCATTCATTCAACGAATATCATTGATAAGTAAAAAATAAAATGATGAATAAGGAGACGTACGGGAATTGGCCACGGAGATAAGAAGGGCCTCGGAGGGGTCGAGCCATAATTTTGCCTTTCCACAGTTGAGGAGGCTTGCAGCCAGCCGCTTCTGCACCTTCAATGATACCATTGCTACTGCTATGCACACACACTTGTAACTTCTATTTCTCTCCTCTCTGTATATATGTGACTAAGGCACCTTAAATGATACCATTGCTATTGCCACTATTATAAATATACTTTGTCCAATGAATCTGCTTGTGATTTACTTTCTTGGGCTGCAAGTGTATTCCATGTTTATTGTTTGACTACAATCACCTTTTCAACATTTCACTACGTTCCTTTTCTTGGGGACAAAGTTTGTTGACTATGAAGCATAAATTGATCACAATATTAATACTACAATCTACAATTATAATTTTTTTTTAAATGTAAAAACTATAATAATTGTATAAAATTCCAGAAACTATATAAAATTATCTTTACAAATTTTTGAATAATTATAATATTTTTATAATTTGTTATATTTTTAGAAATTTATATTTTTTTTACAATTCTTTACACATTTTAATTTTTACAATTTTTCGGTTATAATTTTATAACTTTCACAACTCTTTATAATATTTTATGAACCTTTTACAATTATTATAGTTATATGATATTTTAAAACCTTTTACGTTATTATCCTGATCTTTTTATAATTTATATAATTTGCCATATATTTTCAGTTTTCTAATTTTAAAAAGTTACTGTTGTTTTTATGACTTTAATAATTTTAAAGTACTTTTGTACATGATAACATAATAATTTACATAAACATTGACAAGAAAATAAATGATATTACATAACTATTTCGTCACTTTTTCTTAATAAATTGAGAGTTTGATGGTCAAATACATTTCATTGATTTTGACCAATTTGATAAAAAAAATTAAAATTCAATGATCAAATCAAAAAATTAAGAATCAAAATAACAAAAAAAAGGTCATTATTGCCTACAAATAATTAATTATGCAAACTATAGCAATCGACGACTTAAGCCATCGACTCGAAAGCTTAGAAATTGAACTTGTCCTATTAACATAATGCACATATATATTTGAAACCAAAATAAGTACCATAACCATGACGTATCATCATAATGTGAATTGGTAGTGGTTAGGTAGAAGTTTCCAATATTTCGACAAGGCGATAGCCGTTTTCATTCTGAACAAAAGGCAATGCAAGAAGGGCAAAGTACGGTTTTGTCGGGTTTACCACGCAACTGCACCTTTCGTTAACAATTAATCAAAGATAGACAGGGTACCATTCCATACCTATGCAAATTGGGTGATCTGGTTATCATTAGTAGACTTCAGCCCTCATGAACTGAGTTGCAGTCATGGTACATCCACAGTTTCGAGTAATACCAATGTAGGCATTAACGACCGGAGACATCATGGAAGAAGATATTATGAATTCTTTCTTTTGTATAAACCAAGAGCCAATGTACATCCAAAAGGGAGAAAGTCATTCTATATAGTCATTGTTGACGAAAATGTATCAGGTCTAACCTAACTCTAAGGCCACAATGAACATATCGATCTACATGGCTGCTAAATCACGAATATAGTCTTCCCACATTTCGGTTGCAATTGAATCCCTTAACTGTAAACTATGTTCTGGATGTTCTGCTCCAAATGCAACTTCCAGATCATAGGTATCGACTTGTATCATTGCTTGTTCCACCTCTAGTGGAGCCAATGATTCCTTTATCTGTAAGGCAGTCTTCGGTTCGTACATTTTAAAAAGCATATCATCAGGTTTCTCCCTACGGATGTAGTTATGCAATGCACATGCTGCTACTACCAATTTCACCTGTGTTTGCAATGGGTAAGGAGGGGCTGACATCAGAATAGGGAACCTTTCCTTTAAGGCCCCAAAAGTACGATCAGTAGTATTTCGCAGCAAGAAGTGTCGTTGATTAAATAGCTCCTTGGCATCTTGAAGATGATAACCACTGGGAAATTCATCCGAATTATAGGGGACACCAAGATACGGGGCAATGAAGCCTGACATATTTGAATACTTATTATCCACAAGGTAGTATCTTCCTGCATAATGGAAAATTTTCATCCAACTGCTAAAACTGGAACTTTAGGAAGTAATAGACAGCTTAAATGTATTATTCTAGATGTTCCTAGAGATTTAAGGCTACATCTGGCGTCCAAATATGGATTAAGATCCCATTCCTTAAAATAATGCTTGGGTTAATTATCCAAACACCAACTGACAATGTCAATTTATTCAGCATCCAAGAGAGAAAAACTAGTTAGTATCTTATGAATATGTAAATACCTTCAGGGACTTGCAGCTTGTTACGTCTGGTAAGTGCTGAATTTAGAACTCTCAAATCTGATGCTGAACCCTCCCAGCCAGCTAGAACATAATGGAATTTAAGATCAAATGAACAAGCTGCCAGAACATTCTGAGAAAGTAATCCATTCTTATTTCGGAAAGGTCCTTGCTCATCTACACCAACCATCACTGGAACATATATGCCATCAACGGCTCCCACACAATCCTAGAAAATGTTGTTGAAAATGAGATAAAAGTAACCCAAAATAGATATTAGTAAAATTACTGATTAGGAGCACCTTAAAATATGGATAAAATCGAGGATCCTGCGAGATTTCTGGTGGAACATCAGATCCTGGGGGCTGAAAGAATTCTAATGAAATTGCCATAATTGCATTCAGAACATTATTAAAATGGCGACTGATGGTTTCACCAGAGTATCTGAATAACTCCTGCACAGCCCGAGTCCGTAGATTATGGCCAATTATGAACAAAAAAATGGCCAATTGCTCCTCAATCTTGATACGATTTGTATGCCGAAGTAAGCCTTTGCCTTGTAGAATATCACATAATTTGTAAAACACTGGCTTATCCATGCGAAAATTTTCCAAACACCGCTCACTCTGTCCATTAAGGACTTCATCTACAAACTTCATACCATTCAATGCAAGATTATGGCCCAGTTCTTTGGGCATAAAATTTCCATAGATTCCATCCTTTTCATCATCAGATCTCTCCATGAGAAAACTAGCCACTGCACTTAAGAAGACATAAATCAATCATCAGCATACATTATTTGGTTTAATAATGTATCTAGTGATATACCTATAAAATCTCCATTAAAACAAATATCAAAACAAGCAATTCTAATGGGGTAGTGAACTCATGACATAAGTCAAAATAACTTGAAATTTGACATTCTGTAGCTTCAGTTGCGAAGATAAAGCAATGGATATTCTGAAATCCAATGCCACCACCTTTGCTATAAGGTCACTATTTACTCATTTTTTCAGATCTTTAAATCCATTCCTGTAAATTCTTCTTTAGTCACAGCTATTCATTCACCTGCCTATTCATTCACCTGCTGAAATCATTGCACAAATTTCTTCCCAAAGATTTTCTCAAAAAATGTCGGAGAAAATACATAAAAAAAAAGCACAACAGACACTGATGAAAGGGATCATAGATAAACAGAGAAGACTTTTGTCATGAAAACAAAAAATGAATCGTCACCAAGCTAAACCTACATATTCAAACCCTAATAATCCAAGAAATGCAGTTCAATGTATCCTTTTGATATCTAATCAGGCACATTGGAGGGGCAACTCCCTCCAAAAATTTCAAAAAGATAATTGAACAAATATAGCTGCCTTCCAGAGGAAAATAAATCATAATAACAACAAAAACAGAAGATAACCCACCAATTGTTTCAGATACATCAAACAATACCGCGTCGTGAAAGTATAGATAAATTACACTCGAGTAAAGCTTTTTTTCTATTAATTGTAATCTAAAAATGAGAGTAAATGTTTGGAGGAGTGTTGTATTGTGTTGAAAAAAGAAGAATGAAAGCAATACCTGGGAAAAGCAAGTAAGGAAGTAATTGCAAATAGGAGAGCGATAGAAGCGGCGGCGGCGGCGGCGGCGAATTTGCGGAGTGCAGAGTGTTTCCACCGTCTCCTCCGCCACGGAGAGGATTTTGATCACACTTGAGAAGCAGGGTTTTTTGTTCAACGTTTTGCTGCCATTCTCATTCGGCTATAAAGTTCGGCCTACTTTCCTTTCCTCTAATCAACCCAACCCACCTTGATTTATCTCATCTATTTAACTTTTGGCTTAATTCACATTTCCACTCAAAGTATACATTTCCTCTATGTTAGTCTCCTAACTTTTTTTATTTTCAATTTACCCTCCAAACTATCAGTTTAAACTGTGTGTAATGCAAGGACTGGTGCAGTATTCCAATCTAAGGGGGACGAACATAAACTTTTAAAATTTTAAAGAGGTGAGTTTGAATACATAAAAAATTAAAATATATAATAATTTAAAATTTTTGGAGAGAACTACCCTACCCGTCCCTCAATCCATATGTGGTGCCATGCACACGGACTATAGTCATACGACATAGGAGCTTTAGAAGTTTTAGTCGTATTCTTGTACAAGGATTCTTATATTTCAATGCAATTTTTACTTGTTATTAATTTTAAATTTTTTTATCTCTCACTATAAATAGATATGCATGAATATTTATTATTCATCTTAATAATTCTCAGAAGGTAGCTGAATATTCATTAATTTTTTAATATACCTTACATTTTATCATTTTTGGTTGGAGTCCACTTCCAAAATATCTGTAAGTTCAAGAATAATGGAGACGTTGAAAGCACATCACCTTTCAAAAGTAATTCAGCTAGATCAAAGTATGTTAGATATAAAATTTAATTTGTTTATATAATAATGGCGAAAAGTACTCAATTTACATTGAACATCAAAGTAATTACACAAGGCACCAATGGACTCCTCCCAAACTAGATGTGGCGACAAAAAAAAAAATCGGTTCACACAAATTAAATTATTTCGGCAGTTAAAAGAAATGAATATTATTCTTATAAATCTCGAATTTGAGTACATTGTATATAAGGAGTATTTAACTATTTGAGTATTCATTGTTAAAGGAGTAGAAAGTTTTACGAACAAATATTACCTTGTAATTAGGACGTTAAAAATTATCCGACTCAATCAGAACCTAAAATTTCAGGTACTTCTTTTAAACAAAATTATCCGATCGAACCGGATACACGACCCGTAATTTTCTTCGGGTAGTTGGGTTGGGTCTGGGTCAAAAAAAATTTATAACTGAGTACCCGACCGAGTAATTTTAGTGTGTGTATATATATAGTTTAAATTATATTTTAAATTTTTTAATATTTTTATCATAAAATTAAATCTATATCTCTAAATTTTTCTTTGATTTATATTATGTGCTTTTAATTTTTAAATCTTTCAAAGAAGGTTTTATTATGTCAATATGATATTCAAAAAAAATCACGATCGATATTGATATTGTTAATGTTCTTTTGGAAATAAAATTTAATATATATATCATAATATTATTTATCCTTGAAACTAACTTCAAATCACTAATTTTTTGTGTGTGGATTTTATATCATGAACTTTTAAATTTTGGTGTGTTTTTTATGTGATTTTTTTAAAAATAAAATAAAATAAAGAAATATATGAACCGAATACCCGTGACCCGAAAAATATGGGTACTCGAATTTTACGAATACCCAACTACCGGATATTCAAACTTAATGGGCCGAATCATAGACCGACAAATATATTACCAAAAAAAACAAATACTGAGTTTTACACATTTCTACTTGTAATTACCCTTATATTAATAAAAAAAAAAGATTTGTCGTTGTTACTAATACACTTGTACCTGAGATTAGGGACACTAAATACTTATCCAATGGTGATTCCTTACCGTGATAGAAACTCTTGAGATTTATCGAATCTAAAATTTAAGAATCAATGCATATTTCTCAAATAATTATAAAATAAAATAAGTACCGAATAGAGAAAAGAAGAGAGACGAAAAATGAAATTCGACTTACGGTTTTGAAGAAAAATAGACTTCTTTAAAAGAAATTCAAAAATTATATATGTTTTCAATCGATATTTTCGCCTCTAAAATTTTACAAATTCATCTCCTCCTAAAATACAGGAACAGATACACTAAGCCCTTTAGGAGGTCAAGTGCATCCCATTATTTCAGAAAGATGATTAAATTTAATATAATATGTCAAGAAAAATAAAAAACGTCATACCCGTTATTTTTTAAAATAATTTAAATTTTAGACCCATTCTTAAATTTTTAGATGTGTGACTCTCAAATGGTCGAGTCATCCCTTTATTTTATTGTTCATATGGTGTCGTTAATTAGGGGTTAAATCTTGTTTCCTCTTTGGATGATTCTTTCATGTTAGACGAGTAACGATGAACACCATTAATGATTAACACTATTTAGTACCTGAAGTTTTACTTTTGATACGTTTTGATACTTGAACTTTCAATTTTTACAAAATCATATCTAATTCTTAGTTTTTGTTTCTTTTTAATACTCGTGGTTAAAACCTTAAGGATATGGCTTAACATGACAAATTTATTATTATTTTCTAAATTGCCACGTGAACAATCAAATAATATATTTTTATTCAGCCAATAGGGTGATGACACGTGTCACCACCCTATCCTATGAAATAAAACCAACAAAATGTATTCATAACCAAGGAATTGAACCCATGCCCCCCAAGTAAGGCGATACAGGGTTAGCAACTATACTACGCAAGATATTAGTAATAAATCACCACAACCTATACTTCATTATAACCACAAAACAAGAAATTTTAATATTATTAAATTATTTTTTTTAAAAAATTCATTATAAACCAAATTACTTAATTAAAAATTAAATTATTTTTAAATTTATTTTAAAATAAAAATAATTAAATATATGTTTAAAAAAATATTAAATTATTTTATAAATTAAATTTAAAATATTTATTTATGATCATATAATATAAATTTAAATTACATAAATATTAAAAATTATTTTTTTATCATAAATAATTTAAAATTTATATTTATCTAATTAATATTAAATTAATAGAGGATTTATGAAGTTAAAAATATTGTTTATTTTAATGATTTAATATTTTATATAGTTTATATTCAAAAATGTTTTATATTTTTAAATAATTTAGTTTTTGATTAAAAAATTATATAAATAAAATATAAAATTCATCTTATATAATTAATTTTATAGACTAGCTTAATGATTTGTACACTATTTTTTCTTGGGAGAGAAGTCCTAAGTTTGAGTCCTAATTTTAATTAAAACATCTTGCTTTGTGGTGGTAATAGAGTATAAATTAAATATATTTTGTGGTGAATATATAATAATTACCTTGCTTTGCCCATTGGTTAGACCTTTTCCTCTCCTTCAAGAGGTAGCGGGTTCTATTCCCACGCTAAGGACAATTATGATAATTGCTTTCAATAGGGTAGATCACATTATGTCATGCCGTTAAGTTTTAAAATAAATTTAATTTTAAGTATGATTTTGTAAAAATTAAAAGTTCGGCTATTAAAAGTTAAATTTTAAGTATTAAATGTGTAGTTTATCTTATAAAAATAATGTAACTAATATTTTATTTTAAATCATTTACGTTTAGATTTTTAAATTAATTTATAATTACATGTTGAGTAATCTATAATATTAAAATTTTATAAATTAAATTAATGGTGTTCATCGATACTCATCAAACGTGGTAGAATTTTCCTTCCTCTTTATAATTTGGACTGATGTAATTTTTCCAGTCATGACAAATTCAATTGTAATTATATTATATTTATCAAATATATTTAAAAAATTAAAATTATTAATAATTACACTAAAATAAAAATTATATAAATTTAAATGTTAAACAATAAGTTAAAAATGTTAAACAATACTAATTATTATAAAAATAACTTTTTTAATAAGTATTTGATAAAAAAGTTAAAATTATTATGGTTGAAAAAAGTTAAAATCTAGTCATCTAGTAATAATAATAACGAATTTATAAGTTGATATTATAAGAAAAATAAACAAATAAAAAATAATATAATATATAAAAACTTCACATATACATAAATAAAAAAATAACTTACATAATTACTGTTAAAATTGTTGAAGCTTAATTGAACAACCAAAAATATGCCAAGAGTGAATTGACTTTTAATAAAAATTTAGGGAGTAAAGAGAGATGAGAAAAATTAATGCACAGAGATTTATATTGGTTCAACTCCCTCAATAAAGTCTACATCTACTTCCTAAGTTCCTCAATAAGGATTTTCCAACAAATCCACTAATTTGTTCTTTCTTTTTCAAGGATAAAGAGATAACATTTACAAACTCCCTAGCTTTTCAAAGGCTTAGCTACAACTAAAACCCCTTTACAAAAAGAAAAGAAAGTAAACAAAGAAACTTCTAAAATGTAGGTGTTTACAAAATTAAAGCTCACAAAAAACATAACTATTTACAAGAGAAAGAAAATAAAGAGTGAAAAGCTCTTCTCTTGTGTTTGATTGCCTGAATAGATGTTCTAACCCTTCTTCAAGTGTCCTCAACTTGTTTTTATATGTTGGAATGAGCTTGTGGTCCTTTCTAGCCGTTGGGGATGATTTAGAGCCGTTGGGAATAATTTTTTACAAAATAAAACTACTCAGGACAGGGAGTATCGGTACTCCTTTAATGAGTATCGGTACTTCCTTTATTTTATTTAAATAAACTAGCCGTTACTAGTCGTTGGGCCAGACCAGTATTGATATTACTGTGTAAAGTAGTATCGATACTCCTTTGACTATCGGTACCTATTTTGCATTCTGGAATTTGAGAAATTTGAAAAATAACTGGTAGTATCGATACTACCTTGAGAGTATCAATACTTTTCTTACCTATGGTATCAATACCACGTGAACAATATCGGTATTGTTCATGCAGTATTGATACTGTAAGAATAGTATCGGTACTATGTACCCAGAAAAACTTTTTTGTGCTCAAATTCAATTTTAATAGACTTTGAATTATTTTTGAAAACTTTTAAAAACTTTGAACAAATTCAATTCAAGTCCAAAAACATTTTTCCTTAATTTGTTATATCAAAACATTATAAAACATGGTTCAACAATCTCCCCCTTTTTGATATAACAAAACATTT